TATTGGAACAGGAGCAGGCAACCCTGGAGAGATGGAGAGCTACCCTTACAACATGGAAGAGATCATCAAGGTGCTCAGTGCTTTTTTTTAAAGGCAATAATCTACAAGGCCCCATTAACACCCCCTGGCGGTATTCCCAAGTGTAGCTCGAAGTTGATTTTCAGTACCAGAAGCAGTAACCCCGAGCTACACTCGGGAATACACTGCAGCGTTGCTCTGGGATGCCTCCAGCACTTACCTTGTCCTGCGCTCCTGCAATGTCCCCCCTGCAGCGTCCCCGGCCATCTCCTCTGGCCGATGCCAGCATTTGTCTTCTGGGTTATGTACCCTGAAGAGCGTCGGGACGTACGGGGGACGGAACCGGCGGGAAATTAAAAAATGTAAAAATGTGACATTCACTCAATACACTAAAATCTGATAGTATTCCATTCCTGTATCAAACCATTTCACATACATTTTGTCCCGAGTGCTTTGTCCGGTGCCCTGCCTGCATTTTTACTGCCCTTTCTGCCTGGAAACTGAGAAACGTCCATGGCGTCCAAAAAGCTTCCCTTTAGGTCAGACGCGGTTTTAGACCGGCTAGAGGACAGCGATAGTAAATCAGAACCACTTGCAGAATTGAGTGATAATGATTTGTGGGGGAAATTCCTCATCAGACACTGAAAACGATTCTGCGACTTTGCTCAGCGATGTGCGAACTTGGCGCTATATTTCAAATTTCAGTGTTTTTTGGTTTGAGTACATTATTGAATTAAATGTTTTATTATTATATTATTAATGATTATTTATTATATTATAATTTATGATTTTGTGTTTCAAATTTTATCATCCCCGGGATGTTTACTAGACTCTTGTTCGGACAGATTTCAGTGAATTATTCCTAAGAATTACAGGCCTACAATCAAAAAAAAAACATATTTCCATGCAAAAACCAATAGGACTTTTTAAAAAATAATAAACATGTTATACTTGCCAGCTCTGTACATTGATTTTATACAAAGCAGCCATGATCCTTTTCTTCTCAGTTCCCCTGCTGGTGTTCCTGACCCCCTCCCTGCTTGCTCTGGGGGTGTTTCAAATTTTAACATCCCCGGGATGTTTACTAGACTCTTGTTCAGACAGATTTCAGTGAGTTATTCCTAAGAATTACAGGCCTACAATAAAAAAAAACAATATATTTCCATTGAAAACAATGTACCGCTTCGAGCACAGAAATACTGACATAATCAGACCGCTAGGGAGGTTAATTTACAGGCCACCATTCTACGTTTAAAACAGGTTAGGTGAGGAAGCGTCACATCACCTCATTGCCTGTCAATTTCTTCTGAAAAATGAGCCGCACATGGATCGCTTTTCAGAGTAGCAGTGGGTTTAGATGTACGTCTAAATCTAGCCTTACTGTGCTGTGTTGCTTTGCAAGATGGAGATGTGATGCAATGAGCAAATATGGCTAATCCCCTGTATATGATTACTAACTGAGCCTAGAACCACATTTTTACATTAACACACATTGATAAGATCATTAACTTTAAATCTGCCAAATTCACATGCATACCGTAAACAAAAATATGTTTTTAAAGAGACTACAATTACCCCTTTAAGCCAAGGATATTTTTGAAGTGGTGCATTTTTATGGCTTCCATGTAGACTTTAGGGTGAAGTGTTTTGGGCTGTCGGCTACATTATGCAGATTGTTTTCTCCTGTGAGCAGCTGCTCAGGTAGAGAGGAGGGGGGGTAATGATATTAACTGATATAAATTCACAAAATCTGCTCCAGTTGACTGCTCCTTTTCTAGTAGACGTTTGAGGGACTTTGAGGAGAATGTTCAGCGCCTCTGCTGTTCTAGAGAACACTTACAGCATCTTCTGCTGAAATGGATATTTATTTAATTTCATAAAGCTCTGTTCTCACCTGCAGATTAAACAGAAAAATGGAATTTCTGTAATTCTGTATTTTAAGCAGATTTTCCATAAAAAAAAAAGAAGTATGAAACACCTCGTAATGAACATCCAGTTATTCATCTGTATAGCAGTCAGCCAGTGTTTCGGCAGGAGTGCACTATGTACTCCAAAAGGTCTCTGTGTTCTTTGAGAGCTTTGTGTAACAATATATATATTGTAGCAAAGTCTTGAATACAGTGTAGGTGACAAAGTATATCCAAAACAAAACAAAAAAAAGTTAGCAACCTGGTCAGTTTGTTTGTTTGAGGTCTGTGTCCCCACTGGGGAGATTCAAATCTCTGTTTGTCCTGGAACTACTGTTATGAGCAGTGAATGTAAGATCAAACTCAAAATTGTGAAGGTGAGAGAAAATTATTAATTGGAGACACTTGTCTAAAGCAGTGAAAATGGTTTCCCTTTGAGAACGTGTATTGACACGAAACGCGTTAGAGAGGTGCCCAACAGTAGTGACGTCACTCGGCTCGGCCCACATGGACAGCCGGCGGCCATCTTGTTTTTTTCTGATTTAAGTCCATTTACCTTCTGTCATGTCCATTTGATTGTACAATAAACTACTACACTATTGGAGACTTCCCTCTTGGGCTTGTTTTTGCTGCGAGCCCCCCCCCCCCCTTTTAAGGTGAATCCTGCTGACCAGGCATATGGTAATGTGAATGGTTCCCCCCTGGTGGCTGATGACTGAATCCCTGGAGTTTGGATATCCCTCTCTGATGTGTGTCACTTACCTGGGTGTTGCTGGCGAGATGACCCCCTGTGCTGCAGTGTTCCAGATCTAGATGACCAGGAGTTGGTCTTATTATACTCCAATGCGCGAGAGATTGCGCTTTCTGGTTAGTGCAATCTACATCCATTCTCACAGTCACTGATTTTCTCACCATTTATTGTTGTCATTGGAAATATTGACTTTCATCACATGTCACATGTCCCACTACCCCCAATCCATCACACTACCCCAATCCATCAGATTGTCGCCTTCCCTCCTCACCTTCAGGCGCACCCTGAAAACCCACCTCTTCAGGGAAGCCTACCCCACCCTCACCTAACAGCCATCCTTCTTCATTTCTCCTATTACTCCATCCCCCACAGCCACTTCCTCCTGTACCACTACCCCCTCCCTCCTAGATTGTAAGCTCGAGTAGGGCCCTCTTACCCCTCGTACGTTGTTTGTTGTTGCTGTGCTGTTTCATATATTGCCCCCCCCTCTATTGTTCAGCGCTGAGCAAACTCTTTGGCGCTATATAAACTCGATGTAATAATAATATGTCACTGTATGCACTTTAGACGTCTAGTTCGTGACGTTGTTTCACATCATGATCCTCAGCGCCGTGGAGCGCGGTTTACATTTGTTCTGTTTTTAGATATATACCTATGATACTACTAACTTTTCATTAATTTTATGCACTCATATGGTCATAATTCATTTATATTTATTTATTGAATTTGATGTCTCTAGCGCTGCATATATTTATATACAGTGAAAAAGGTTGCCAGACAAAATAAGTACGGCCAAACTAGCGGATTATTTAGGCACAGTAAAAGACCAGACTATCATATACAAGTACAGCAGTTTATTAACATAAAATAGTCATAAAGCAATATATAAAGCTGACAGTACATACATAACCCCCCAAAAAAACAACAAGGGGGAATACAAAATGAGTACATAGTTAATCCCTTGCATATGACATATATCACCTAAAACATTGGATCCAAAAGTGAAGTAAAAAGTCAGAGAATGGTCAACGTGTTTCGCCTGTACGTTTGGCTTCCTCAGGACCGTAAACTTCTGTAACAGAAGTTATATATACTATATATACTATATATAAAATATAAAAAAAACAGACAGTATATTCACAATCAGTTATAAAATGACATAAAAAGTAGATGTAATGGGCAAAAAATACTACCTATTGGGCAGCCAGCGGTAAACAGTCTGGGGGGGGGGGGGGGGGTGCGGACATACTTGATCAGAGTGCGTAATATAAGCAAGAGACCAAATAACACATTTTATGCCAAATGTACAGGTGAAACGCGTTGACTGTTCTCTGACCTTTTATTTCACGAGAGACAAATCTTTCTTTGGGAACACTGAATACAATGATGACAAAGTGAAGCAGGCTGTCCTAGGATGGTTCAGGCGTAGTGACAAATCTTTCTATTATTATTATACAGGATTTATGGCGCCAACAGTTTGCTCAGCGCTGTACAATATAACGGGAAACAATACAGCAATGATACAGTTCAATACAAGAGGGATAGGAGGGCCCTGATCCTGGGAGCTTACAATCTAGGAGGGAGGGGCTAGCAGTACAAACGGTAGTAACTGTGGGGGACGGACTGATAGAAGGAATAGAAGATTCTGTTATTAGCTGAAGACGGGATAGGCTTCCCTGAAGGTTTTCAGAGATCCCCCAAAATTTGTCAGAGTAGGCGATAGTCGGATAGATTGTGGTTGAGAGTTCCAGAGGATGGGGAACGCTCTGGAAAAGTCCTGGAGAAGAGCATTGGAGGAAGAGACAAGGAAGTTAGAGAGCAGGAGGTCGTGCGAGGAGCGGAGAGGGTGGTTTGGGTGATATTTGGAGACAAGATCGGTGATGTAATTTGGGGCAGAGTTACAAATGGCTTTATACGTTATTGTTAATGTTTTTAATTTTATTAGTTTTGCAATGGGAAGCCAGTGGAGGGATTGTCAGAGAGGGGTGGAGGACACTGAGTGGAGGTCAGTGGAGGGATTGTCAGAGAGGGGTGGAGGACACTGAGTGGAGGTCAGTGGAGGGATTGGCAGAGAGGGGTGGAGGACACTGAGTGGAGGTCAGTGGAGGGATTGGCAGAGAGGGGTGGAGGACACTGAGTGGAGGTCAGTGGAGGGATTGTCAGAGAGGGGTGGAGGACACTGAGTGGAGGTCAGTGGAGGGATTGTCAGAGAGGGGTGGAGGACACTGAGTGGAGGTCAGTGGAGGGATTGGCAGAGAGGGGGGGGGGAGGACACTGAGTGGAGGTCAGTGGAGGGATTGGCAGAGAGGGGCGGAGCATACTGAGTGGAGGTCGGTGGAGGGATTGGCAGAGAGGGGCGGAGGACACTGAGTGGAGGTCGGTGGAGGGATTGGCAGAGAGGGGCGGAGGACACTGAGTGGAGGCCGGGAGGGATTGGCAGAGAGGGGGCGGAGGACACTGAGTGGAGGTGGTGGAGGGATTGGCAGAGAGGGGCGGAGGACACTGAGTGGAGGTCGGTGGAGGGATTTGCAGAGGGGGTGGAGGGACACTGAGTGGAGGTCAGGAGGGATTGGCAGGGGGGGGTGGAGGACACTGAGTAGAGGTCAGTGGAGGGATTGGCAGAGAGGGAAGGCAGATATGGAACGGTTAGTAAGGTGGATGAGTCTGGCAGCAGCATTCTGTGCCAAAGCTTTCCAGTCATTAGTTAAATGCTGGGATAAGTGTATAAATGTAGCAGAGGAGTATGCTGAGAAATAAATGCAGTTTCCACTCCTTGAAATTTGTTCTTTTATTATATAAAACCCAAAAGTCCTGATTTGACTTGAATGTCCCTCGTGTGCATAGAGAAATATCAAAAATTATTTGTGTGAAGCAGACCTTTAAGGTACCCACTCTATGAAATAATATTTTTTATTAAATATTTATAAGATTTAAATACATGTCCTAAAAAAAAATCAACAGGAATAATTCATATATCACGCTACCTCTATCAATATACATTACATCTACCATCAACTTCCTACAGTAATCAGAGGATTTATCTGCACTGCATCTGCATTACCCCCCACACATACTCCCATTTCCTATGTCTATAATAAAGGTGGCAAACTGGGAGGAGATATCTTCCAACTCACAGCTAGAATACTGCAAACTTCTACGCCGAGAGATATATGATGGCTGCTGTTGCTGACCTCATTTTTCGCGGTAATGACTAAAAAATTATTGAAAACCATTGGATCACCATGAAAGCCAGTCATTTTTAGAAGGAGAGGTCAGCAGTGGTAACTTACATATTTTATCAATACTTTAAAAGTAAAATTTGCACATGTAAGAAAAAGGTTTTAGGGACCCACATTGCAGATTTGTGCCAGCCTTGCTCTTCAGACAGACTGCCAAAATGATTCAGACAAGGAAACTAGGTCATCCATCCAGTAGTTCTGTATTTTAAAGTGTCAATTTTTTTATTCTTCACTGCTCTGAGATAGTAGTAGCTGCACGTGTTGCTGTATAAATCCGTAACGCTCCCCACACTGTTTCCCTCACTGATAACTCATCTAACACAAGGGAGAGGGGAGCTGGCCTTTCTTCTTCATGGACACCATTTATAATGACAACAGCTTTTTATATTAGAAAGCTAGATTCTTTGCTCAAAGCCACTCTCTGGGCAAATTTACGACTCCTATACCTTCTACCCATTCATAGTTAAGGAAGAAAAGGCCTTTTTACTCACTGGAGTCCACCCGTGTGATGTTTCATGGCGCCTATTTTGCTAGTAAAGACTGGCAATCCATAACTGGAAACACAAACTCACCCCTGACCAGTCTTGCTTTTTCCACCTGTGACTTTATCATGATGAAACTGGAGGCTTCAGGTTCTAATGATGGTCCATAGCACCTTAAGAAAGAGCCTCCTACTTAGCAGCCCAGAAAAGGAAAGACTAAAGACTTTGTGGGTCATTAGAGCACAGATTCAGGTGAGGGTTTGGGTTATATTTCTCTCAGTTTCTGGACCAAGTAGCTTCCAGACTGCAGCTTTATATTTACCATGACCAGTTTTGTTGTTGCTCCTTGGGACTTTATAACAATAACTCTGGAGGCTTCAGGTTCTTCCGATGGGTCATGGCACCTGAAGAAAGACCTGCATAGGTAAAGAAGAAAAAGCCCTTTTTATTCACCAGAGTCAACCCTTGTGATCCTCCGTGGCTTCTATTCCAGGAGTAAAGACTGGTGATCTATTACTGCAACACAAACTTACTCCTGACCAGTCTTGTTGTTGCCCCTTGTGAATTTATTACAATAACACTGGAGGCTTCAGGTTCTACTGATGGTTCATACACCACAGATTCAGGGGAGTATTTGGGCCATATTTTTCTCAATTTCTGGACCAACTAGCTGCCAGACTGCAGCTTTAAACTCACCATGACCAGTCAAGTTGTCACTTGGGACTTTATCACACTGCAGACTTTAGGTTCCTCCGACGGCTCATGGCACCCAAAGAGAGACCTTCCTACTCTGCAGTCCAGGCTCAAGACTTAGTAGGTCACATGATCACAGAATCTGTTGAGCATTTGGGCCATATTTCTCTCAATTTCCGGACCAACTAGTTGCTGGATTGCAGCTTTATATTTATCACGACCAGTCTTGTTTTTTCCTGATCAGGACTTTATCACAATGATACCAGAGATTTCAGGTGCCACCAGTGGTCCATGTCACCTGAAAAATGAACTTCTTATTCAGCAGTCCAGAAGAGGAAATGTAAGACCTAGCAGGCACGTAACCACAGATTCAGGGGAGTGTTTGAGCCATACAGTTTTTCTCTCAATTTCTGGACTGGTTGCTGAACTTTAGATATATATAAATATGATATATAAACTCACCACATCCAGTCTTGTTTCCCCTTGAAACTTTATCAAAATGACACTGCAGACATTGGGTCCTACTGATGACCCTTGGAACCTGAAGAAACACCCTCCTACTCTGCAGTTAAGAGGAGGGAAGATTATAGACCTTGCAGGTCATGTGACCATGGATTTAGGTGAGTATTTGGGCCATATTTCAATTATTGATCAACTAGTTGCTGGACTACAGCTTTAAACTCCTCACCTACCAGTCTTGATGTTGCTCCTCAGGACCTTATAAGGGTGACACTGGAGATTTCAGGTTCAACCAGTGGTCCATGGCACCTGAAGAAAGAACCCCCTACTCTGTAGTCCAGAGGAGAAAACTCAAGACCCGGTAGGCACGTAACCACATATTCAGGGGACTATTTAGGTCAAATTTCTCTCAATTTCAGGACCAATTAGCTGCAGGACTGCAGCTTTAACCCCTTGGTGTCTGTTCCTACTGGCCCTTTAACGGGTTCTAAAAGAGGGGATGTGAAGATGGGATTCTAGCTAATGTGATTACTGTGATTGACTTTCACAGCAGTCACATGTTCGCCCCCCCTGATCCCAATTGGAAAATGGTCTGTCGGTGAGAGCACTGTCAGCACAGAACAGCAGTGCCAGCTGATTCATATATGCATGCAGCTGATATTACGGCCCACCCGCCATACTAATGCCGGCCATACATGGGTCGCATTCCAAATGATTTTTCGCCTGAAAATCGAAAATGTTGTTCGCTCGGTAATCCGATGGTGGCATCAATGATTTCGAAAATCGGCCGACCAAGTCATAAAGTTCACCCCATATGACAGTCAAAACTTCTGTTCCCTCCAGGTCACAGCTCATGCGCATATTCTTTTCGGAAAAACGATTGTACGATTTGAGTCAAAAATCGGTAGTTTTTCACGAATTTTCCAACACGCCTGATCACTGAAAAAGGGGAGGATCCACGAAAATCGGCCGGTGCCATTGACCCACTAACAGAGCGAAAATCATCCGATTATTCTTAGGTCCGATTTCCGGGTGACAAATCGGTTGAATTTCGACCCATGTATGGCTGGCATAAGGCATACTGTATGTGCATTACGCTGGAACGAGGAAGTTGAAGGGATAACCATAAGTGTGGTCAGTTTTTTTTTTAAATGAATGGTTTTAAAAACTGATGATTTCAATCTGTTTTCATTTATTTGCATAAAATATTTTTTTTTTAACAGAGCTTAACAAATAATAAAAATACTACATATAACTCTACAGCACATATAGGCACCCTAGAAAGGGAAGAAACTGCATCTGGTTGTCTGTTTATTTCCAAATAAATCAAACTGTTTGTTATATAGCTTCCTGAGACTTTTGTTGTTATTTTGTTATTGTTTTTTCTGTCTCTGTAAATGCTTAGATTTTGGTTTACCCCAGTGAAATTTAGTTCACAAATTGAAACTTCATTTCAATTGCCTAGTTCTGATCATTCCTTTGTACAGTTGTTGCTCCTTGTGATTGCATTTTGGCTAAGCCTTTATCTTGCCGCATGGCGCTGTATTACTTGTATTTCGGAAAATGATTTTCCTGCACATCCCAAACTCCTCTTGTACCAATGTTTGTTTGCAATTATGGCGTTGTACCTTACAAAGGAGTACAGGACGTTCTCCGGAGATACTTATGCCTACTTCTTTTAGTCGAAATCAATATTAAGAAAAACAAAATCTGCTTCATATGTTTCTTATGTTGATGTATTAAGCAGATGAATTTGTTTTTGCTTTGGGATGTAGCTGGGGTTTAGTCTCCTGTGGAATATTGCAGCTGCAATGTATGCAAATCCACTGACTCCCTTGTTCAATACTACAAGATGTACCGAGTGTTGTTTAACTGATGTTTGGGCCACAAAGTGATGATATTCCGTGCCCAAGGGGATTCAGAGTTAAAGTTGCAAACTGTTGCAAATCACAAAACGTGTTTGTACGTTTAGTCCTCAAGCACACTGGACGCTTTTACAGCGGCTGTTTTTGGCTTTTGGCGTTTTTTTGAACAGCCAGTAAACTCCTCAGCATGTTCTCCTAGGTGTCCGTACACACAGAGACTGTAATCAACGTTTTTGGCTGGAACTAGTGGGATTCTAGAGGAGTTCTTTAGCTGTAAAAATGCTCTAAGGGCTCATGTACACTGCAGCTGCTAAACTGACGTTCAGGAGCTTTTCTGCGTTTTTTTCAGCATCCCCTGAACTCTCCCTAATGTTTTCCTATGTGTCCGTGTACACATCGTCCTTTACAGTCGTTTACAGGCAGTTGAGTTTACAGTCGTTTACAGTTGTTTACGTTTTTTTTAACTCACCAAATTTCCTTTCAGGAGTATTTCCAAATGCGTGTAAACGTGGTTAACGTGGTTTGCGTTTAGAAGCGTTTTTTTAAACTGTTCCATATCTAGATGCTGTCCGGAGCCTTTTTTCATCATCAGAAATGCATGCAAAGCATTTTCCATGTATTCAAATGGACCCGGTACACCGGCGCAGTCAGTTCCAGGTTTTGCGTGAAGGAAACAATGGTAGAACGCGCCGCATTATGCTCATGATGGGATCCATAGTGAATACAACCAGAAAAGACCGGTCACCTCAACACATACTGCTCTCTCTCTGCTTCTGCTCTCTATTTCTCTTAAAATGTCTGAAAT